TTTGTTACGCAAAATGCTCATTTTAAAAATAATAATCTGAACAAAATTTGAATGATTTTAATTTTTTTTTATTGGAAAAGTTTGTCGGATGCATTATAGAGATTTTACTGTATATTGGTATATTATATATAAACCTAACCCGACCCTAAAAACTTTACCTACCAGCCCGACATGACCAATATAGAAATAATTCATTAAGCTTAGAATATAGAAAAGAAATGCCAAAATTAATTATTACAGACATTTTTTCATTTATCAGCACACACTTTACAGAAACCTTTGATTTTGCTAAATATATTTACTATATAATAAGAATATAATTAAAATAAATAAAATATAAGTAAAGTATTTTTATTCTGTTAAGTTTCTATTAACAATCTGTTTATTATATTATTAGGTATTAAGATATTAGTAATATTATTTAATATTATTTAATTATTTTAAACAGATTGCTATTATATTATTAAAATATTATATTTATTAGATTGCTATTAGATAATTAAAAGATGATATTAAATTATATTCATGTTATAATTATATTATAAACATATGATATTAATCGTGTTAATAGTGACTTAACAGAATTACAAAAATATTTTTAAAATATTATAATAATATTTTTAATATATGTTTAGCACATATTTATTATCTAATAATGATAACTTATTTAACTACGAATAATGGATTCTATTTGTGTGTATTGATTGATTAATTTTTTATAACCAACCTAAATCATTAAGTCAAATTATTTATTATTGTCTTTAATCCATTCAGTTCTTGATTATTTGACAGATTTGCTTTTCCAATTAAAAAGAAAAAAGAATTTTTAAAACAAAGAAATGTTGACATGTAAAAGCAAAGACAAAAAACGAAAAAGTGAAAGTACAAAATATTCTACTGATATCGGATTTATACCATAATATTAATATCGATATCAGTGACTCGGAGAAACAAATATCTTTCACAACCTCAGTCACTCACGTGTCCGAGATTTTGTTGATGGTAAAGAAAATTCAAAAAAACCTTAACGTCAAATTACATAATTTTTGACTCTTTTATATTACGTAATATCACATGTATTATTATGATAGTATGTTAAATAAGTGCAGTTAAATTAATACTTTTAAATATTAACTCACAGTTTATCTGATATGTTGTAATGCTTACATACGTGAATCAACTATAACAAAAAAAGAGCAAAATACGTATTTAAATGTAAGCAAGAAAGTTGACATTTATTATTCAAAAAAGTATAAAGTAACGAAATAATGTTTGTTCTGCCTCAATACGTTGTAGGTTTTTTTTAGAAGTTTCCATCTAATTTCGGGTTAAAATATTCGTAATTACTGTCTACAATAACGTTCCTTAAATATTAAAATACAGTCTCAGCGGATTGAAATGAAAACTTGTGCCTTTTGCTTACTAGATTCTTCCGATAGTTTTACTTTAAAACTGTCAGATACTTTAGAAATAACAAGAGGGCTTTGTAATAAAGCAGTATGCTTAAACAAATTAGTTGAAATGTATAAAGAATTTAGAAGTACTGATGAATTAAAAGATAAAACATCGATCATGTTAAAGTATATGTATTTCTCTTAGTTGTCGGTTATACTGCATTAAATGAGTCAAAATATTTAATAGAACGTAGGATATAGTTCACTAATCCAGAAAACTATGTTTGTATCATAAAGTTTAAAGCTCATGTCAGGATTTAAATGCAATGTAGCAAAATTGTAAAGGAACTTTTTTTTTTTATTAAGGAGGACGAGGGATTTTCAATAAATATGCGCTGTTTATATCAAATCTTTAATCGATTGATTAAATTATATTAAATAAATAAGGTAGCTGCGCAGCGTGTGACGCGGCGCAGGACCAGTACGATCAGACGTGCAGGTAAAATTTATACAGTGTAAGATGTTGGATTATTGTATTTTTATTCTGGGTTATTGTAATTATTTTTGTACGGTAAGTTTCAATTCAAATTGTTCAACTTATATACTGATTAGAATCATTTCATTTTATTTTAAATTTTTTTTTTAAGTTAAATTGGATTTTTTATTGCAAGTCACGTGTATCCGGTATTAACTTAAGCGGGTTTGAATCTATCGCTATTGCTTTTCTGTTGCTATACGCGAATATTATTGTTTGAAATATTTTATAACGACTTAAAAATTTGTAGGTTATTGTAAAATTGCACGTTTTATTCAACTGTACCTTATTTTTTATGGCTCGTTTTGATTATTGATGTTACTTACTATAATTCTTTAGAGGGCTAATTCTATTTTGACCTGGTCAATGTGACCCATCACGTGCCATACGTCCGAGGATTTTAAAACATCGAGCGAACAGCAGAGTTACACATATATTAAAACCGGTGAGGGATTATATCCATCACAATTGAATCCAACATAAATAATTTAATTTGTAATTGATCACAGGTGAGAGGGATTCACTTTGGATCGGGCACTGTCTCCGCTGTTCATCGAGCGATGATATTTTAACAATCATCTATCAAATTTCGATAAAACTTTTTTTTGAGATATCTTCGTATAAAGTTGAGAGAAATCAAAAAACATCAAAATAGAAGCTGCACTAATTTTTTACTCCGAGTGGAGGTATCTTGATAATCCCTGATGAAAATTTTTTATTCAAATTCGATTATTTCTCAGGATTCAATTAAAAAAGTTTTGTCAAATTTTTTTAGATGATCGTCGAGATATCTTCGCTCTGAGTTAGTGTAAAAATCTGGCACAGTTCCTACTTAGGTATTTTGATTTTTTTTTTTTTTTTCTAATTTTTGAACAAAGTTAGTTTGACAACCACCTGACTATTTTTCATGAAAATTTTTTTCGAATTCTATATGAATCTGCAGAATTCGAATAAAGAAGTTTTATCGAATTTAGTTAAGATATCTCGACATCCACCAGACTAAATTTGATGGAAATTTTTTTATTCGAATCCTATGGATTCACAGAATTCGAATAAAAAATGGTTTATCGAATCTGGTTAGATGGTTGCCTAGATATCTTCTATTAAAGGTTTAAAAATTCCCAGGTTATGATCATGCGATTGGTCACTTTGACCCGGTCAAAATAGAATTGGCCCGTATTAATTCACTTATATCTGATTTTGATTAGAATCTATTTGCGGGCGTGCGTCATCTTTTTATCATCAATCAGTATTATTAATCATTATTATCATTATGCCGAATACAGTTATTATGATTGATCTAAATTGTTGATTATTAATCCGTTACATATCGGGTGTTATTATTGATATTCGATGATGATAATTTTTTTTACATTTACGTCTTATTCTGAGAAGAAATGACGATGTTATTGTTCTATTAATAGTTACTTTGATTAGTATCAATTTTTATTTTACATCGATTTCGATTATTTTAAATAGATCTTTACGGAATGACGTATTATGTTGTCATTTTATTACTGAAATTTTGATCATTATAAATGATCACAGTTTTCGTATTGTATTTTATTTTTTTATTTTTTTTGCAATTTTTAAAATGCCGTGTCATGTTGATACAATCGTAAGGGTTAATCAAGTTC